CTTTGTGGTGTATCCACGTGTTTTCTTTTACTATTTTTCTTTTCATTTGGTGACTTCACCTTATCTTGCACTGTTAGGATCATATGATCGCAGTTATTAGCAAATAAAAAAAAAAAAAAAAGAAAGATTGTCAATTGTGTCGAAATCAAAAAGAATATTCCAATAAGAAGAAAGGAAATATTTTTTGGCGAATTGCAACTTTATGGGATGCTCCAATCACAAAATTCTACATGGATTTCACAGCTTATCTTCTTTTTCTCTTTTTCTTTACATTGGCTGTGATGTGGCCATCATGTGGAAATTTAGTTCTTGATTATATTGTTTTCTTTTGGGCGGTATCGATTGCAGTCGAAAATATTCGTATTACGTATTTAAAGTACTGTGTAAGTCTAGAGAAAATAAAGAAAAGAGAAAAAATTCCTTTTTTATTTAATCGAAATAGGATCATCGTGATCGACCAATGACGGGTGTTTTATTAGGAATAGGTATAGAAGTGATTTTTCTAGTACTTTTTCTCTTCATTAGAATTATTGGTTTGTGGACTTTTGGCAGTATGTCAATCAAATTCTTTTTATATATTAGATTTGTTGAATTTTCTTTTAGCACGTCATATCGCCATTGCAAAGGCGATTTTAAGTTTTGGATTGATTTATTATTTCTATCGCGTCTTATATATTTATTTTCCAATCAGTTCGAAATTTGGTCCAATGATGATTCGACTTCAATATATGGTTAGTCTTCTTTTGTTTCATATCATTTCTCTCAATGATCATTGCAAACGAAGATCTGTGATGATTTCGTCACATTTCTTCGATTATTTGTTATTTTTATGATATCATCTGGTGTGGCTATTACTGCTGTTCTATATCCTCATCATCCACTCAATTGGGATCTTTTTAGTAAAGCAATTCTTTTTCGTGGTCTAATGGCTTTATTTACGAGTGAAATGTCGGATTTGAAAACATCTGATGGAACTTGTTCGATTAATAGAACGACTGGAGACCATCAAATGTCTGCTTGTTCAGCTTTGAGTCGTTCATATCGATGTTAGTCAAAATAAAAAAGAAATTTCAATCGATCAAATGTGTCTTTAGATGATAGTATCTCAACCTATAGACAATATGGAATATCAACACCATTCTGTCGTCAAACATCATGGATTGCTTGGTTATTACTAATTCAATATTTCTTTTTAGCTAAACGTCTTCTCATATCTCTTTTAACAGCATTATTCAGGTATTTCTTTTTTTTAAATCTCAGTTGATATTTATTTTGATAAATTTTAGTGTAACAGGCGCACGAATTCAACGACAATCGGAACAAATTTGGTGTTATAATCAATATGCCATTCTTGTAGAATATCAAAATCGACTACGTCTACCCCCTCCGTTCGTTATCTTCTCATATATTAGTAAAGAATTCCCGTTCAATTGATTTTCTTCTCTTACCTTTTCTTTTAGTCGAATCAATGATGATTATTTGTCGTCAATGTAAACGGTAGGTCAGAAGAGATGACAGTCTCCAAATCTCACCTGTAATATGTTTTCGAAAAGATGTTTTGAAAAGAGATGCACCACAAATCAAGCAACTGCCCCAGCTACCACAAGGAATGTTAGATATGTGACTGTTCCCATGCAGTCACCTACTGGTACAACTGATGATGCACACTCGAATGAGAAACAATCGAATACTATTTCATCAAACAGCGAAACGGTAAGTGCAAAGAACAGGCCCGTCTGCTAATAGATAATTGTAGAGTCGGTGCTCACAGCTAGAACTAATTGACTTGCAAAGGAATTTTGTAATGTCTTCGATACTTCAGTGACCTGTTTAATTGATTATTTTAGATTGAAGACAAAGATAGTGAGAGAAAAAATGAAGCGAGTATTTACTGGAAACACAAAGCCAAAGACTATTTCCTCCAAATTCAAGCAGCGGAAACCGCAAAAGATCCATCTAAAGGGTTAGTCATTGGTCTTTCTTTATCTGCGAATGATCATTTGAAATGCAATAGTATTGCCAATGTACAAAAAGATATCGAAGTCCTACGAAGAGCGTTATTACAATCGAAAGATCGTCTTGTTAGTTTGGAAGAGACAATGAATAATTCCAATGTTCTTCTCGAAAAAATTTCTCCGATAGTCTTTCGAGTTGATCAAAAATTTACAGAAATTCCGACAAAATTTCTTCATATCTATTCGCGTCAATCACCCTATGTCTATACGGAAAATGCGCGATCATGGGTTGGAGATAAGTTCGTTCCATGGACGGTAAGGATAATCATTACAATAAAACCAAAAATTTGATCAATATTCATTGATTTTAACGAGTTTTCAAACGAATTCTATCGTCCTATATTGATTACTTTACCAAAAGAGCATCAATGCTTTTCCGACAACGAACGATCTTTTGTCGAATCTGATTGGTAAGTTAAGAATGAACATCTCACTTAGAAAGTATAAACTGTGTTTTGGATTCATTTGAAAAGGTCTCCGGAGATTAAATCGTCCATTCCTCTGTATGTTCCTAAGGATAGTTTCTTTCCACTGTGCTAGAAAGATAAATCCATTCGTTCAAAGAAATCCATCTGGTCGTACAGGTGTTCAAGGTCGTGGTGCTCATATTCGTTGGGGAGCAAATAAATCTGTCATAGTTATCGTCACTCGTTGGAAGAAGGATGAAAAGGAATTTGTTGTTCTTCAAGGAAGACCCATCCTTGAAACTATCATTTTCATTGACGAGAATACTAAAACTTGCAAATTTGCAGAAGTAACTAGATCAGTATGAATCGATTCACACCCATTAATTGATTTATTTAGGGTAAAATCCTGGGCGAAGAATCGCCATACAAAGCTGTTTGCCAAATGTTCAATGATCTTGCGTTTAAAGATAAGAATTGTGAATGTATTTTACCATTCCGAAAAGAAAATATGATTGAAGTAAAAACTCATAGGTATTTGATCATATTCATAGAAAATCTGGAGATTTCTCTTTAGTTCTTCGAGTCATTTGCACGTTCCAATGAATTCGAATCGCATACTTTTTCTCGTGGTGAATATCGTCTTCTTTTCATTTTCTCTTATTCTATTGAAACTTCACTCGTAGGATATATCGATGATGTTCGAAATACGGACAATGCTTGGTTAGAAGCTGAAATCTGGAATTTTCATTACGATTCACATGTGGCATTTCCTTCTTTACGTGATGACGTACAAACGTTTTATCACTCGGATTTCTCTTCTGACAAATAATTTTCTCTTTTTTCAGGGAACAGTCTTGTGGACAACTCTTGCTGATAATTTAAATCGTGTTTCGATTCAAACGTCCATCTTACGGAGAATTGCTCGAATTCACGATGCCTCCTTTGACTGAAACAAAAAAAGATCTGATACAAAAACTTTCAACTTTTATGATTCTCTACTACCCTATTTGACTAGACCACATGTACAAAATGTTTTACATAAAGAAATTAATTAACAGACAGACATATCACAATTTAACCCTTTTAGTCTCGAATTTTTTCACCGAATATAAATTTAGTAAAACATCATACTATGCGTTTAGATGCTATTACACAATTTGGGACTATGTTACAACAGAAAAGTATGTGATTCCACGTCGATAGGTTTATTTAATTCACTGTTGACACACGTACACCATTAAAAAAAGTACGCTACCGAACAATCAAGATTTTGGGAGTGAAAGGGAAATTTTCACCCGCTATTCCCTATTCCTATAAACCATTACCGACTGTAATTGGATCTATTATTGTCGCCTGTCATAGAGTGACTGCTATTCGTTGTTTCTTGTTGTGTGTAAAAGTGTGCATCTTATAAAGAACGGGAGAGTTTGTTACGGGAAAGCCAAATAAACTGTGTGTCCTTATCTCACAGACCGTGATTGATTAATGGAAGCGCAATAAGAAGCAAAAATTTCTTAAACAGCAGCGAGCACCGGTATTGAGAATGATATGTTATTTTCAGTAGCATAGCTTTAAATAAATAGGAATGCAGAGTGAGAAATAGATTAGTGATTCCATGTGTTCAAAGTTTCTCCAGCTGGATCGTATTTCACATCTTGATCGTGTTAGGAATTGCGCTGAAAGTTTTTGTTAGAGAAGAAGAAAAAAGTGCTTTCTATACATTTTCTCACTCAACTATAGCGTCGTCCACTGAGGAGCTATGAGATTGTGCTCGATGTGTTAAACATTGAAGTTATTGTCAACCACGAGGAGACCAATGAAGATCACGAACAGGTGCTGTGTAAAGGCAATCGCTTTCTACGGCGAAAGAGACGATGCAGGAAGACACAAAAATATCCCTTCCGGTGTGTCTCATATCAGCGTCATTTCACTCGGTTGCGTAACTATCTGCAGAGACATGAGACGAAGAAATAGAAGTTTGATGGCGTATATTTTCATTTTTCTTCTTTCTATGTTTTTCTTTACACCATCTTTTTTCATCCATTAGTGTGACAAGAGTGTTGAAATGCGTGAATAACTAATTGCTGCTCATTAACATACCTTCAAGCGTGCTATTCTCATTAGTGTGTAAATATCATGCGCAATATTATTTTGATCTAATGCATGCTCATTTTTTTACTTTCTATCCAAGCAGAACAGCGGTAAGTAATAAATAAACGATTACACACATTCAATTGAAGGGTGAGGGTGAGAAAAAGTAAGCTGACTTAGATTTAAAATTTTGAAGCAGTCTCATCCGATTTCACAGTATATATCGTTCTGTTAATAAATGCTCATCAATCCCCGGCAATTTTCGTCTATGTATTACTCTGTGGTGCAAAGCAACTGCTCATTGCTTTCTTTACTATTGTAGAACTGATTAGAAATAATAATAATCATTATGGCAGATTTTCGATTTTCAATACCAAATCATTGGCCACAACACGCTATACAGTGTTGGCAGGTTGATTGGGGCTCACCGTCTCAACCTGTGCCAGTGCAAGAGCATTATTATCCTAATGTGGGAAACTCATGCATGACAGAAACGTGCAGAAGAAATCAGTCACAAGTCCTGCCAGTGAATAGTAGTACTGTTCCTTATGGTAATTTCCAATTACCTCACATTGATAATCAAACAAGATATATAAGAAGAGCAAAGCGCAGGAACAAACACGAAAGTTTACGAATGGAACGTTTTATGGGCGCCCCTATAGTTTCAAAATCGTTATCCATTGGTCATTTTGGCTCTGCATCTCCGTCTTTCGTTCAAATAGGAACACATCTTACTCTTGAACCAGTTGGTTTACCTTCGGAAACTCCAGAAATGATACCAATACTTGTTGAGAAAGCAGCACAAGGTATTATTGAACTGGGGAAACAATTAGGAAAAAGACGAAAAGCTGAAACAATAGCATTCAAACTCAGACAGAAGAAGGATGCAGGAATAGAAGAAATATGGAAACAATGTGTTTATTTCTATACATCGACCAATTTCTTATACAAATCATTGAAATCAAATACGAGAAACATAGTAGAAAAAGAAGATAGTTTATGGAAAAGCTGCGTACCTACGTTACGCCCATTTTGCTTGTTATTACTAGATAATCCATTTAAGAGAGAAATGGCTACGAACAGAACGATTTATCGAGGTGCTTATATGCAACCTGCACAAATCAGTCAATACGAGGAAATGGCTAAAGATAAAACTCTCTATCGAACATTTCAAGCGTTCACTTCCTGCACACGCATTCGTGACAACGCAGAGATATTAGGAAATACGATATTCGCAATGGGTGTGTTAAATAATGCTACTATGGATTTAAGTCCATATTCGAAATATCCAGAAGAACAAGAAGAACTCATCATACCTGGTGTTGGTTTTCACGTTAAGAGTGTAACATTTGATCAGAAGAAAAATAGACATCTGATCAATTTGGAATTACAACAAAAAATTCCCAGTAAGTAGAAATAATATTTGATTATGTGAGGATACTTTGTCAGATCTATAAGCGCTTTACAACGAAAATACTAATGGAAAGACACATCAGTTAGAAACAATCGCATATCACCCCAAAAAATGCTCTAATCGGGTATAGTTTTTAATTTGGAGGTTCACTGGACAAAAATACATTCGATGGTTCTAGTAAGAAATGGGAAAATTTGTGTCAAATTTTTCCTTCAGATGCATAGTTAAGTAAAACGTCATCTGAACAGAAGAAAATATATCCTACTGAAAGGCATGGGATCGTTTTGATGACTATAGAGTAGATACATATATGTGTTAGATCCGTTTAAGAGTGTAAGAAAGGTTTTATTGTTAATGACGAATAGCAAATGAAAGTTAACAACTAAAATGCACACACTTAAGCTAAGGAACGTGGGCTATATATATGTCTGATCCACCGGATATTTCCAATATCATTATATCGGGAAAAACCTGTACTATTACATACAGTGGAGTGCAAAAGTCCTTGCCCCGTGTGTGGACTACCTTTCTGAAATCAGATCTCGAAAAGATTCCTTAAAGTTTTTTAAGCAAGTTTGTCGAAGGTAAGGTCAGATCGTAATGTATCTATTTAGAATGAAAATCATCGGAAACGACCTTCGTTTAGAGAGAGAATGCTTTCATGACGAAACCACACTTCGTCAAAAACTAAAGAAAAATCTCATTTATAGTATTGACATGACTGACCATGAGAGTCATGTGAAAAAGACTATCCCCAGAAAGCTCTTCATTCGAATTGTATAAAAAGTTCTTCAGCTGCCTGAGAACGGTAATAACCGATGAGCTTTCTAGGATAGAAAGGGTACATTGGCCTAAAAGAACGATGAAGTCGTCAAATTGACGTTTCGTGAAGTTGATGTTAGCTCTATAAAAACCGTGCAATCCATCATAAAACCTCATGTTGAGAAGAGAAACGGTGAAAGCTGCGTTGTATCAGCAAATGTCCGCATGAGATATGTGAGAAAACTAGCTGAATTAACCTAAATGATTTTATGAAGTCGGTAGAAGCAAGGTATTTGGGTATAGGCCACTCAGAGAGAAGCAAAATCAAATAATTATTTTTCTAGTGTTGAAGGTTGAACTAAGCCCTATCCATGAGTATAATTTATTATTATAGCTGATATCTCCATGCTGAGAGATACCTGCAACACCGAGGGCAAGGACTTTTGCACTGTACTGTATATACATGACTCATTGGAGAAGACCACTGAAATACATATCGAGGTTAGAAGAACGAAAGAAAACATATTGAAGAATTCCGTATCTCACATCGTGGAATATGCCATAACAATATGAGTTAGAAATAACGATATCAAATTGCGGGTCTGTCATCTGTATATAATACGATGTTAGTCCGCTATTAGGTGCACGAGACAAGATTTGATCGGTAGAATACAGAAATCGCCAATCTTTTACAATACAATATCAATAGAAAATAGAGTTTTATTTTCGCAATGGCTAATTAATATACGAGAAGGAAGATTTTGTAGAAAATCCGAATAAATGAAAAACCAAGGGTTCATGGAATGTAAAATCTATAGATTCAAGATCAAACTATTTTACTAGAAAAATACATTTAGTTCTTGGTCATTTACTTCGTTTTATTAAGATTACCATATGGGACTTCTTTAATCCAAAACGTTCCTCACTTTTAAGATACACAAAAATTGAGTACCTAATTAGAGCCAGTCAATCTGTTCGCCCGTTTATGTACTGACGTTCAATAGGACAACCCAATGGTACGAGACTCTTTGTGCAATAAAGAATATTACTCTATCGATCTCCTGGTTCTGTTCGACATTACCAGATTATGCCTGAGATGGAAAACAGAAGCTTCCTTGGAAAAACTATTCGCTCATAGCTTTTTTACGACACATATGCGTCTACATAGTTTTATCAGAAATATGCTACTCTATATAATGGTGTCTTCGCATCTCCCATGTTATTGATGATCCCAAAATTCAAATGTACTATCAGGTTGATTTCACTATTCGGCTTAGCTGGCGGTTCACGTCATAGATTTGAAAACTGCAGCTGGATTTCATTAGAACTTTTCTCCTCCTTGTCTCTTATCGATATCTCGCGACCGCACGCGGATGAGACCGATCATTTCTGAACTATCCATAGAAAATGTGCGTATTCACGTATGATTATCCTGCTTCCACCCACCCTTTTTACAGAACACATAGCTTCCGGACAAAATCCGAAATTTTCGAATTTATTTCACATGGGAAAACTCATTAAACTCTTAAACCACAGCGATATAATTGGACGATACTTAGAAAACCAATAAGTAAATAACACATCTGTTCATATCACTCTAGCCAATATCACAAATACAAATTCCTCTATTGAACAACCGAAAACCACACCAACAACGATCAATACGAATCCACCCGACGAACAACCGGTAGCAACTGTGCATACGAATGCTCCTCTCCAACAACACAAAACAACACCAAAGCCTGCAGACATGAATGTCCCTGTCGAAAAATTGATAAATGCAACACCAACATCCGTAGATACCACTACTCCCGCGGAACAACTCGCAACGACACCAGCAATCGTAAATACGAATCCTCCTGTCGATCAACCCACAGCAACCGTGGAGACGAATCCTCCTGTCGATCAACCCACAGCAACCGTGGAGACGAATCCTCCTGTCGATCAACCCATAACAACCGTGGAGAGGAGTACTCCTGTCGATCAACCCATAACAACCGTGGAGAGGAGTACTCCTGCCGATCAACCCATAACAACCGTGGAGAGGAGTACTCCTGTCGATCAACCCATAACAACCGTGGAGACGACTACTCCGGTTGAACAGCTCATAACAACACCAACACCAGCGGATTTGACCACTGCTATCGAACAACCGGCAGTTTCAACGTCAGCACGCATGAATACGAATCCTCCTGTCGAACAGCCCACAGCAACCGTGGAGACGAGTACTCCTGTCGATCAACCCATAACAACCGTGGAGACGACTACTCCGGTTGAACAGCTCATAACAACACCACCACCCGCGGATCTGACCACTGCTATCGAACAACCGCCAGTTGGAACGTCAAGATCGGTGAATACGAATCCTCCTATCGAGCAGTCCACAGCAACCGTGGAGACGAGTACTCCTGTCGATCAACCCATAACAACCGTGGAGACGACTACTCCGGTTGAACAGCTCATAACAACACCAACACCAGCGGATCTGACCACTGCTATCGAACAACCGCCAGTTTCAACGTCAAGATCGGTGAATACGAATCCTCCTATCGAGCAGTCCACAGCAACCGTGGAGACGAGTACTCCTGTCGGTCCACCCATAACAACCGTGGAGACGAATACTCCGATTGAACAGGTCATAACAACACCACCACCCGCGGATCTGACCACTGCTATCGAACAACCGGCAGTTGGAACGTCAAAATCCGTGAATACGAATCCTCCTGTCGAACAACTGGTGACAACACCAATATCCACTGGTAACGAAGGGAACATGCCTGATTTCTACTAGAATTTGTTTCGCTTTTCTGAAAGAAAGGGTTATACAGCGTTTAAATGCTGTTTTGAAAAGCTTAGAGTTTGGCTGTCTGTTTGTCTGTCTGATCCAATCAGAAATCAGCATTTCTAAAATCAATGAAATTGATGGATAGTTATTAGAAAATGATTATCGGTAGTGTAATCGAGGTCGGGGAACTCGAATCTTAGCTTAGATTGAACTAATTATTAAGTATTAATTAACTATCTGCCAACTGAACATAAATTATTAATATGCAGGGTAAGGGTTGACCGAAGTGTAATTGAGGTGAAGGATTACGAATCCGACGTTAGTGTTGATGAATTAATTATTAGTGTTTCATTAACTACCCGCAACTTATCAGCATCCATTGTGATAGTAGACCGAAGGATTTCGGACGTCGGGAAATTCCAATTTGAAGGCGAATTTCGTTTTATTTGCTGAGCCTGGGCTTGTTCCTGCCTCTTTACAAAGGAGATATTTTTCTTTACGTGTTCTAAAAGCTTTTGCAGAAGATGATGAGCTGAAAGCTATTCACGGACGTCATGTGTACAAAGATAGTAGCTCAAGAACTTACACAAAGAGATCTAATGCATTGTACATAATGATGTTTCTAATTCAAGAAATCTGAAAAAGTGATATGAGCTTAGTATCATCTTTGCTTTGTAGGCTACATACATCATGTCCTCTCATGGGAATTTAATAGAAGTAGTTCGCAAAGCGATATACCCGTCGGTGGAATTCCATCTTAGTAATTACAGACGCGTGGACTGTAGAAACAGCGTTCTGAACGCATGCAGCGCCATGAAAGATGTTCGTTTCGAAGCAAATCATACAATAAGAATTTCTTATCTAGTTTCTTTTGGTAGTCGAATGAATAGAAGATCATGACTGTAGAAGCGACAATAAAAGAAAACCCAATCATTCAGTTTCAAAGCTGATCAAAGGCGAAAGGAATAACAGAGACAGCAGGGCAACGGCTAGCCGTGAGTAACGGACCGGAGGGGAGGTCGACGAACGACTAGACGTTTGTTTTGAAAATTACTTGGAAGATGAAATTTAACACTGTCTCAACGAAAGTCAATGGCTTTTGAACGAACATAAGTGATGTGTTTTTGAACTTGGAGAATAGGGATTGTACATTACCAGCGCTTTAAACTAAACAGAGCAATAGAATATGTACTGTAAACTACACAGTTACGAAGGGTTTTGATAACTTCGATCACAGATGCACTCAGTATCAACGAGCTACCCATGTAAAAAAATGAGAAAAATCAGATTATAATTGATTCAATAGCTGATTAAGAATCGATTTAAATCATACACCTTGAATCGATTTTTTCCCCATTTAGAATGGATTATAATCAGAAAAGGTTAATTGTCTTTGGTTTTTAATCGCTGCATTATCGATTCTCAATCGATTAAGCGTCTATGATTCAAATTGGTTTTTAATCAAATAAAGACCAATTTTAAATCAATTAAGATCTAATAATATAATCATATGGATTCAATGCAGTTTCTGCTTCCACTCTAATCTCTATGACAATCGTATAATCATTGTTTTAATTAGTCATAGCAGTTGTGGGAGAAGACAAGTGGTAATTTTGACGACAGTTGCTTGCTATACAGTATATTTTGACTTCAATATACTTCTTGATTCATTGTTGGTGTGGATTTATGAATAGTTTGTAAAATTGATTGTGATTCCCAATTGATTCGAACAGTTGAATCGACCTGCAACAAAAGAACAATTATTTGATTAAATAACTCCTTACCGATTGCTTTAACATCCATATTGTTTGTGAATAAAGATGAAAATTTACTTGTAATTATTTATCGTGCATTCTCGTTTGCGGGTGAACCTAAAACGTAAAAAACGAATTATTTGACAAAACTATTGTTTACTGTTTTTTGGGAATTTGAAAGCACTTGTTAGTAAATAATTGGTCACTGCTTATTTAAATTGAAAATCTTCGGAGTTTATGTCAATGCTAATATGAACCTAAAAAACAAAGCACATACTACGCATTCAATAAAGTATACTCACTGTTCACTTCAATGTCTGTATTGATCTGAAATATAAAGAAAACAATTTGTTTATAAATACTAAAAACTAATCTTTTAAATAAAATATTGAGATTGTTGCAAGGGAAAAGAGTGATGTGCATGCACTGTATTGAATCCGACAGAAAGAAAAAGCTATCTTAGTAGAACTCCTTTAGCAAGTATCTGGAAAAGTTGCCGTTACGAAAAGAAATATTTCGCGGTGATTTTCTTGGAAGTAAACAACAACGATAAACGTAGTTATTTATTAAAAATAAATACATTATTCATCTTACGAGCAACGGAAAAATGAAATGTCATATCGAATTTTACTATGGCGAGTTTCATTTCGACTGAAGTAGAGTTGTCGGTTCATCTGCATCTACTATTGCCATCTACAAATCTAATCTAGTCTTAAACGTAATTTTTTATTGGATCATCTGTCCAACTAGTCTGTCGATGTGTCGTTCACTGATTCGATATAGGACAGCGTAGATTGTAATCAAATGTGAAGGTTGAAGTTTATTCGAAGACCCATTGGAAACACAGTTTCAAAATCAGAGAAAAGCAGAAAATACAAAATACTTCAACTTAATCAATTGAATTTAAACGACTTGATTGGTAGAGAGACTTTCTAGCCGTAGTTACGACAAGCATCATTCGGACCAAATTTATCTACGCATCTCACATGACATTCTGTGCCTTTCTCTTGGGTGGCAGCAACCGTTGGACAACAGAGACAAAAACATTGATAGATGTTGTTTGTTCGATCGGCACAATTCACATACGCTGCTTCAGCAATACCTTGACCCAACAAACCGTTCACAATGTTACTGAATAAGAAACGCCGTGTTCGAATGCTTGCACAGCTAAACATCGATGAACACAGAAGAACTATCAACGCGGTCTTGAGCATGTCGAAGTTTGAAAAACGATGGTTGTTCTACGATCGATCGTCGAAGAGCCAATTTACAGTGATATAAAGTAAAACGAGATTCTCTTGTAATATTTATAGGGTAGTAAAAGGTAATCGTTCGTGCAGGTGTTTTAATATTGGAAAATCGAATTCCGAGAAAAAGACCTTGAAATTGGAGTAGTAGCGTCGTTATATTAATCCAAATAATCCATTATTTCTCATCTTTGTTCTTCTACTCGTTCCTTTCGCGGATTTTGACATTATTTTTTTCTTCTCCAGATTCGATTCTTATATTGATTGGATTCACGAGAAATAAAGCGTTTGCTTAGGTACTCCATTTCTCACTGCGGCGAGAACGACGTTTGGCTTTTAGGCCATTCCACATCAGAAAGGACAGCTCAATATATGCGCGATCGAAGAAGAAATGATGGTTCTACGAAAACTAATTCGCTCTGCTTTTTTTGGTTTGAGGGATCGTTCATGTGGATTAAGTCAAATATAGCCGATGTTTAGAAAAACGTTTCCTCCTTTTAGAAGAACAGACAGACGTTCTTCTTCATTCACACATTTATATGTTCGTTCATTTGATGTACAAGATATATATGAACGAGATGATGATAGAGAGTCACGCGATGTGGAGTCATTCTTTTAGGGGCGTGATTGCTTTCAGATTAAAAGTGAAATTATATAAGGGGAGAACGCAAGAGAAGAGCCAAAAGTCATTCTCAGATTAGAAAGAAGGAAAATGAGAAGTTCATCTCAATTGGCAGTTCGGAATATCTTTACGTATATGGTCGTTTACGTTAGAAATCAATCCAATTATTCAAGATACTCAAACAGGAGATAAAGAGGAAAAGGGAGATGATATAATAGGTGGAGAGATGGTATAAAAGATGAAGATACAATAAAGAACGGGGAGCATTTTTCTTCTAGTATTGCCGCTCATGAATAGAACTATCAATAAGAAATGATACGTGGCTCCCAACTGTTTATTAGTTGAACGTATAATTGTACATGTTATTGAATTTTATGCTTAAACATTTGAACTAAATAAATATTATTCAAGTCGTAACGACAATCGTTGTTTCCTTTAACTATCAGAACTGAATTACAAGGACTTCTATTTAAACGAGCAATAAAAATACTTAAATGGGCAATAAAAATACTTAAATGGGCAATAAAAATACTTAAATGGGCAATAAAAATACTTAAATGAGCAATAACCAAATTCCGGCAATAAAAATACTGACTGAGCAATATTAATACTGACCGAGCAATATTAATACTGAATTAGCAATGATAATACTGAATGAGAGATAATAATACTGAATAAGCAATAATAATACTTAATGACCAATCATTTATCTAAACTGGCAATAAACCATGTGTGTAGGGAGCAATAAAAATCCAGGTGCTACAATGTCCTTCATCTATGTTGGATATTTCTTTTCTTTCTTTCGATCGTGTCGTATACTAGGCATATACAATACATCTATATATATGTTCCTTGTTTTCTTCTCANAAAATGGTCCTTGCAGTGATTTTGCAAGAAAAAAGGGTTCATCAAGGGGTAGATCAAGCTGATAAACGGTTTTTTCAGTTATAAACCTTTTTTGAGGGTTGATTATTCTGCTGATTTTTTTTCTGTGTAGAGTGAATAGGATGCAAGTCTTTTTAGGAATCGGACCGATTAGCTATTTGTCAGTGGATAATTCTCCAGCACTAACTATGTTGACTGCAAAAGTCATCGCTCAGCGGCTAATCAGACGGCCACTCACGGCCAACCATTGACCTTTGTCCTCTGTTTTTCTTTTTTCACACCACGCGCATGGAAATTTTCATAAATGCTTTACTAAGCCACTCATAGATGGACGATATACAGTAGACTTCTTGAAAAGTTTGAACATTCGCTTGTGTCTTCCAGGGATAAACCGACTCTTTCCTCTGTTGTCAACAAAATGATACCTTGTCGAATATTTTCATTTAGGAATATTCATTCTCAAATCCCTTTCAAATTATCTGAAGCCTGGCAAGGTTATTCTAAGCGTACATTGTAGGATTAATCTAGCATTTAAACGCCTAGTCGTTCGTTGACCTCCCTCCGGTCGGACACTCACGGCTAGCCGTTGACGCACATGACTAGTTTTTCCATATAAAGAAGTAGCTCGTTGATACTGAGTCGATCTCTGATCGAAGTTATCAAAACCCTTCGTAACAGTGTAGTTTACAGTACATATTCTATTACTCTGTTCAATTTGAAGCGCTGATAATGTGCAATCCCTATTCTCGAAGATCGAAAATACATCAATTGTGTTCGTTTAAAAACCATTGGCTTTCGTTGAGACAGTGATAAATCTCATCTTTCAAGTAATTTTCAAAACAAACGTCTAGTCGTTCGTCGACCCCCCTCCGGTCGGTCACTCACGGCTAGCCGTTGCCATGCTGTCTCTGTTATTCCTTTCGTCTTCGATCGACTTCCAAACTGAACGATTGGGTTTTCTTTTATTGTCGCTTCGACAGTCATGATCTTCTATTCATTCGACTACCCAAAGAAACTAGATAAGAAAGTCTTATTATATGATTTGCTTCGAAACGAACATCTCTCATAGTGCTGCATGTGTTCAGAATACTGATTCTACAGTCAACGCGTCTGTAATTACTAAGGTGGAATTCCACCGACGGGTATATCGCTTTGCGAACTACTTCTACTAAATTCCCATAAAAAGACATGATGGATGTAGCGTACAAAGCAAAGATGATACTAAGCTCATATAACTTTTTCGGATTTCATCAATTAGAAACATCATTATATACAGTGCATTAGATCTTTTCGTGTAAGTTCTTGAGCTACTATCTTGGTACACATGACGTCCGTGAATAGCGTTCAGTTCACCATCTTCTACAAAAGATTTTAGAACAGATAAAGAAAAATATCTCCTTTGTAAAGAGGAAGGAACAAGCCCAGGCTCAGCGAATAAAACGAAATTCATCCTCAAATTCAAATTTCTCAAGGTCAGAAATCCTTCGGTCTACTCTGACAATGGATGTTAATAAGTCGTGGCTAGTTAATGAGAAATTAATAATTAATTAAGCAACACTAACGTCGGATTCGAGATCCTCGACCCTGATTACCCTTCGGTCGACCCTTACTTGACAACGAAGAAAATTTTCATCGCTTAATTAGCTAATGAGCTGATTGGAATTGACTTCTATTTAAACGAGCAATAAAAATACTTAAATGAGCAATAACCAAATTCCGGCAATAAAAATACTGACTGAGCAATATTAATACTGAATTAGCAATGATAATACTGAATGAGAGATAATAATACTGAATAAGCAATAATAATACTTAATGACCAATCATTTATATAAACTGGCAATAAACCATGTGTGTAGGGAGCAATAAAAATCCAGGTGCTACAATGTCCTTCATCTATGTTGGATATTTCTTTTCTTTCTTTCGATCGTGTCGTACTAGGCATATACAATACATCTATATATATGTTCCTTGTTTTCTTCTCATGCCAGGTATTTTCCAAATGTCGTCACCTTCAAGTACTTATCTTTCTGATTGTTTTATTCCTTACTATCTTTGAATTTTCCCATCCTTTGAACGGATACGTATATATATTGCGTCCGTTTAGAAAAAAAAGTATAATACACTGAACAACGATCAATTAGACTGAATTTTCTCTTGCTAATCGATTTATACAGATGGCTCAATCACAACGTGTAGCGCAATATATCTCTGATGATGAAAATGACAATGAAATGGAGCTGGAATCTTCGAATAGTAGTGGAACAGTCAAACCAAAAACAAAACAAAATCGACGAAAATGGTTTCCAATATGTACATACTATAGCAAAGAAGGTGCCATCAACAAGATAAAAACGGATGGTATATGGAGTCAGAGCAATACAAACACAACCAGTGAAGGAAAACGAGTTTATTACAGATGCAATCAAGTCAAAAGACGCTGTAAACAATGTCCAGCTGCTGTACATCTCTTATACCACAGTGAAAATGATTGTGTTACAATGTTTGAAACTGGTAGTGATCATTTTCATGACGAATTGAAATCAACTGGAATCAATCAACAATCAAGGTTGTTAATTGATGAACTGTTCAGACTGAAAGTCAGACCGAAACGCATGCTCGAAACATTAGAGGAAAAAGGCTTACCTGTTCCTCTAAGAAAACAGTTATCGAATTATTTAGTGTCATTGCGTAAAAAGCTGTATGGTTCTCCAAGTATAAGTTTAGGTGAACTTGAAGCTTGGTGTCAACGAAATTCAATTATGCCGGATGAAGATGATCAACCTTGGGTGCTAAGATATCAGATTGAATATGAGGGTGAAACTGATGAGGATAATGAAGAGGATGAAGATGAAGGGAACAAATTTCGATTCTTTGTTACTACAAAACGATTATTATTCAATGCAACTATTTCGAAAAGAATTCATACTGATGCTACCTACAAGTTGATTTGGCAAGGTTTTCCTTGTCTCATCATCGGGACAACTGACATGACAAAACAATTTCATCCTTATGGATTTGCAGTGTGCTCAAATGAAAAGGAAAAGGATTTCAAGTTTATATTTACGTGTATTCGAGATGGAATACAGGATCTTGACTTGGAAATTAATGAACAGGATCTAGTGTTGATCGCCGACGGTTCTGATGCTATTAGAAATGCATTCTCAGCAGTGTTTGGATCGGATCATAGTATGGCTATGTGTTGGTATCATATGCGAGAGCGTGTGGTAAAGAAGCTATGTTTAATAGAAGATAAAGACTTACATAGTGAAATCATGGATGACATTGATACATTGCAGTTGTCCAAAAATAAAACAATATTTGATATGGCAGTGAAATTATTCTTGAAGAAGTGGAAGAGTGAAGAAAGATTTCTTGATTATTTTTCAAGTGAATGGTTAGGATCGAAGAGCGGCTGGTATGAAGGATTGGAATTGAATTTACCGAGCACAAATAATGCCCTCGAGGCGACAAACCGGGTCATAAAAGATGAAGATACGATTAGAGAACGTTTGCCATTATCAAGATTCACAGTTATTGTATTTGAGGTAGTTGGTAAATGGTCAAAAGAACGAAATCCTACACGTGTCAATGCAAAAAAATTCGAACACGAACCTACAATTACATTAGCATATTGGACAGACGGATATAACTGGGTTAAGCTAAACAAAGAAGTTATATCTATTTCAAAAAGTGATGAAACAATTTATTATATACCTGGTGGCGAGGGAACTACAATTACAGAGAAAGAAGTAAAACGTTATGAAAATTGTAGATTTAATCTATTCGACACGTATAAGTCTGTCTACTTCAAAATATGGTGCTTATGCTTATCGAATAATCCGGAAGAATGGAGAGCATCAACTTGCACTTGTCCATTCTTTCTTAAAAATTATATTTGCAAGCACGTCATCGGAATGTCTATCCGGTTAAAATACTGCAAACCTCCACCGGAAGCAAAAAATGTGGAAATCGGTACCAAAAGAAAAAGAGGGAGACCATCTAAAGCTAAAAAAGCTTTATTGCTACAATAATATATTAATTGCTCATTTTTCTCTTTATTATTGTTAAATACCCAAATAAAAACTGACGTTTTTCTTTTTCTTATTACTAAAAAATAAATTTAATACTGGTATTTAATGAATTAATTATTACTCATTCCGTAGTACTAAATTGCTCAAAAAAGAATTTATTATTGTTCGAAGATTATTGCTCATTTGTAGTTTTTATTAGTGCTCATTTAAGTATTTTTATTGCTCAAATAAATACTAGCCATGATCAACTGTTCGAAAGAAGTCCTAGACTAAACAATTCAGTCTTTGAAAAAGTTTCACATAAGAATAGATATGATTAAGTTTGCTATTTCTCATTGCTTATAATCGAATTATTAATCTGATGTAGTTTGTTTCAATATATTAAAACAAAACAAGTCGATTTTAACGCATTTTAAATTACGAAGTATACGATTGAAGTGAGGATTGTTCATCCATTTTTGCGTATGATATGATCGTAAGAGTTCTGTTTTACACATGCAACACAATCAAACACGTTTAAATTGTATATTTTACATATGAGAAGAAAAGAGAGATAACTGCTGATAAAATCATTTTATTTCATACAGAAATGAAAGAAAGTATTCAAGCTTTCGTACACGCATCCGGTGTACATCATCAGGAAATGTGTTGACGTTGTGAAAAGATATTCGAGAGGACAATGATAATGAATTTTGCGTAGCGAAGTGTTGTGTTAATAGGAGTGATTGCGATGATACCATCGTTTCGTTAGGTAAACCATAAATTTGAGAAGATAACCGGCATGGAGATGGTTCAGTGGTGAGTGTCAATGAGAGAAAGTTAGTAAGTCCATTTAAAGATAACATCAAATAGTGATATGGTAAGTGGTTTGTCGCAAAATCATACATCGAACATGAATAAAATGACATAAAATATCACATTAAATCACGCCAGTTAGTATGTATCGATTGATAGATTAATGGACAAATAGATCAGTGATTATGATAGAAGATAACAACGTACGTGAAAATATGAATGAAGGTCAGTTTAAGCAAAGATGACAGTAAGTTAAAAGTATGAAAAGTTAACAATATTGATAGTGGATGACAGGTTAATGACATTAAATCACTAATTAGATTGAAGATTGAAAGTGAGACAAATAAATAAGGTGAATGACACATGTTTAGTAGAATGTGAAACTAAATACACTGGTTTATACATTGGTTAATACAGTTATTCACAGTTGGTAGATAGAGAGAAATAAATTATCTATTGAAGAATAACATCAAGAGATGAGACAGTGTTTATTTAAAGGTAACAACAGGTATAATAAAGAGCAAAAACAGTCACATTGAACAATGTGGTTAACTACATTAATGTGATAACATTTATTCTCACATGAGACTCATGATGTTATATTAAGCGAAATTGAGAAGTGTCGAAAGATCAAATTTCTACAACGGTGATGTGAATGCTATCCGATGGATGGTGTTTGTTCAGAGGTCTACAGATAAGTCTTGATAATCTGAATTCATGAGATGAATGAAACGTTTAGAGGTCAGTGAGATAGTGATTGAGTTAGATATGTAATTCTTTTCACTGACTAGTAGAGATTTGTTCGATAATAATACAGTTGATGATTTCGCACCAGTATTATGTTCCTGTTAATGTATAACTTAGACGAAAACTGATCGTTATGAAGTGCTGGGCTTTCGATTGATTTGCTATCTACAAACTAAAAAGGAGAATGTCATTTAAATTCGTTCTTCTATCTTTACATCATGTGTCGGATAAATATATATGAATCTATTGATGAGAGAGATATATACATATAAGGTAAATGTAATGACAGAACCATATTAACAAGTGTGTCAATGCTTTTAGATGTATTGGGAGAGATGCGGAGAGTGTCGGCCTAGTTAGTATAGCGGATCACTTCTCACAACATCCATCGTCAATAATCTTCAGGCATAACAATTGTTGCTACAGGCTGTATATAATGAATAGATTCTGATGATTTTCTTTTTTGTGCTTAGAGACGAACGATATGAGTATTGAAACACAGTGATATGCAACGAAGAGAGATTTCTAAGTGACAATGTGCAAAGTCAAGAGAAACTAATCAACTAAATGTTAATTAGCTGTGAGGTTCAAATTGAAGAGATAGAAGGGAAGATAAGAAAAGAAGAAGTTGATCTGTGAATGATTAGCTGTTTGTCTGAACAATATAGACTAATTATTGTGAGGATGGAGGATGAAAAAGGGAAGAGAAAATTTTCTTTATTATCTGACGGAACGAACTGGATTGTAATTTGGATTGTGTTGATGAACATATAAATAAGCATGTAGTTATGCATATCTTCATTGCAATCAATTTCTCTCATCGTTTAAGCTTATTATTGCTTTAACATGAATGCTATTTGCGAAAATGGTCTTTACAGCTTATGCTCGTGCAAAAGGAAATATCACTTGCCGATGAATTTACCATTGTACGACGCCCATTGTCACTTTGATTTGTTTTTCAAGTATAATTTGAATGAAGATGAATTTTACTCACAACTGTCACATGGGAGAAAACTCGTCCTGGTCGATAACCGTCATCAATTTTGCCAAGTAATACTCGAATGCTGCCAACTTGTGGCTACTTGAAATAGCAGTGTCATTGATATGGTTCCATCAGAGGTAAAGCATAGCAGTTGATATTTGCTATTTTCATTGTACTTGGTGATAACATCATTTTATGACACTGAATCGAGTCCATATTCATGTTTGAGTTTTCTTCTGTCCCATAGGACCACTCACATAGTTGAATCAAAGAATAACAATTGTAAGCATGAAAGCAGTTATTTTCATAATGTTCATGTAAATGATAGTACATATAATCAATACAACATATTCTTTAGTGTTGTTGAAGCTGAATACAAACAATTATTTCCATTTTTGTCTTCGTCCTAATTACTCAAGATATTTGACTTTTATGCGATCGATTGAAATCAATAAGTCGATTGTTAGACTTATTATTGACAGAAATATAAACCATTCGCTTTCACGGAATCAGCAAATTAAAGTAAAAATATGTTCATGAGTTTCAAAATGTTGGATTGAATTAATAGGAATGGTAGATTTTTAAAGATTCTTCGGAGCCAGAACATGTGATTGATTTACCTTATATTAATTGAAACGAATATAAATAGTTCATTCTTAGAAGTTCAATTGTAAATAAATCGCAAGTTTGCTTTCTATAACATCATTGTAATAATATAAGAGCATTCAATTTTTAAATTCTTGATCGAAATGAATATAACTGTTTGAGTTTTGCGATAATTATTGAAATGAAGAGGTGAGCATGCCTCATTGGTAATAAAAACAGATATTCATCAAGACTTATTCAAACGGTAAAAATATCTTTTCGAGAAATTCTTCACTAATTTATGAAATATCCTGTCATATAACTAAAGCGAAACACTTCTCGCTGAACAGTCTGTCGGTTTGTTTGATTGTAAATGACAATGTTTCTTTCCTTCTTAAGCCCCCCCCCCCCCACTCAAAAATCGTTTTCGGCTTTAGGGTGTTTCGATCGGGCTGAAATTTGGAGCATATGTTGGGGCTATAGTGAGGAGTTTGTGGTAAAATTTTCAGCTCGATTGCTCGACGTTTACCAGAGATATGAACCAAACAAGGGTCAAAAATAGGTTATTTTCGTTCCAGAATTTCTCGGTCCACATCCGTACAATGTATTAAAATTTTTTTTGTTTGAAAGAGCATCTCAAGATGTAGGGCAATATAGAGTCATTTTTTTAATACATACTTTTTTTGCGAAGAAAGGGTATTACAAGTTCAATGACTCAAAAAACACGCGAAAAATGGGTGCCAAGTTACTTAAACGTTTGTATATATAATTTTAAAAAAGGTTAATTAAAAAAAGGGCTCTATATTGCCCTGCATCTCGATGTGCTCTTTCAAACAAAAAAAAAATTTTAATATGTTGTAGGAGTCTGGACCGAGAAATCTTGGAACGAAAATCAAAAAATCATAAACTGAGAAAAAAGCAAAAACATTTTTTGAATTGAAATTTTTAAGTTTTTTGTAGTTTTAGACGATTTTTTTGCATATTTGAAGAGAATAGTCATCAACTATCATATTTTTTTGTGAAGCTCTTAGCTTTTTGAGTTACATTACATATGTAGTTCTATGTTCTACGATATAATTGCATTGGACTTACTCAGAAATATTCTACTACAATCAATTGTATATTGCGTTAATCCTCTTTTTTTCCTAAATGGTATTCATAAAACCTTTCATGTTGTTGTTGTGACTAAAGTATTACTCATAGTCCATCAAAATGGACATGACAGGAAGGAAAAGTAAGCAAATGAACAAGCTGGAGAGAAGGAGGACAGACAACAATCGTCTTCATACAGAATCGAAAGAAAATAATAGAAAAAAAAGAAAAGAAACTGGTCGTGTTGTTCAACGAAATGAAGATAATAATGGACAAGCAAAGTATGGTGATGGTAGTGCAACAAACGATACTGATGAACAAACAGATGATGATCATAATGCAACAAATCCTGGTGATCCATCGACGTCTCAAGGTGACGATACAACAACTGATAGTGATGAACGGATCAATGATGATTATGATTCAACATCTAGTAGTGATGATTCATCTACAGATAGTAATGATAAAACAATTGTTGCTCCTGATATAAGAACGAATGATGATAATGAAAAGAATCATGTTACTAGTGATGATGAATATGGTTATTATAATCCAAAAGATAGAAGAAAGTGGACAGAAGAATAAGTAACAGTATACTAACGAATTTTGTTATGTGAACCTAGTCAGATGGAAGTTTTATTTTTTAAATAAAATTATTCTCTTGTCTACCAGTTAGTCGATTATTCAGTTTTTGTCTTGCGAATTCGAATTTTTCATTGACGAATCCTAAAACTTGTTAAAATATTTCAACTTTCCATTAAAGTATTTAATTTCCGATCAGAATTGTCAAAAATCCGTTTTTTAGGAAAAATCGTATTTTTTGGGTGGTTGATTACAGAAATCATTAAAATTTATAGTGAAAAAAGAGGTGTTTAGTAAAAAAACATATCACATCTGACGTAGGATATCTTTTCGCCCGATTCGAGTTTTTTCAGGACTTATTCGTCCTCGTATGCATTCCAACCATTCCAAGTGTGATTCCATATAGAACTCGACGAGCTCTATCGATTGGTAAAAAAATTTTCCCAAAAAGTCACTTCCTTGCCCCTCAAAATCCCAAAAAACTGACAAAAAACACTCCAAAATTGCATAATTTTCAGAAATACCTGGGCCGATTCGCCTGTGTAGCATCTAGTACCATTCCAAGCATGATTCCAGATAGAACTCGATGAGCTCTATCGATTCCAATCATGAGATTGCCCATAACTCACTTTCTTTGTCCCGAAAAATGGGAAAAACCGTCCGAAATCAACAAAAATCAAAGAAAACCCGTGACCGATTCGCTTGAGTGATATCTTATATCATTCCAAGCATGATTCCAAATCAAACTCGATGAGTTCTATCCATTTCACACCTCATTCACGAATTTCGAGCACTTCATCAGTGAGAAATCGCATAATTACTGTATTTACAGCATACGAACACAGCAACAAAAAATACATTGGTTCATTTATTTGAACCAATAGAATATGAGAATATGTTTTATCACGTATTCATATTCATAGAATATACAAAATTTTTTTCTAAAGAATTTGTAGCATTTTTGTATTTCACAGGCGTAGAAAAGATTAACCGATTGAATAATATATTTTGTCATTGCTATTGTTTCACAACGACTGTAAAGATGGCGCTGTCTGTCAGTTTAGTTCAACAGAAGAAAATCGCTAATTTCACAGAGAAATTCTATTGGTCGACTAAGTTGAACGTATGAATCAGAAGAATTTGACAAGTGTCAAACTGTTCGATGGTAGAAAATTGCTCAATGATATGAAAAAACTCAAGGAATAAATTTTTGGTATATTTGACTTTGAAAAGCAGTTGAAATGAAGAATATATATACCATGCATTCGCGATATTCATGTTTATATTGAATATTTAACATAATTTCGAATGGAGATAAATATCTGGTTGACATAGAATTACATGAAACAAAACTACGTAAGAATAGAGGAACAGAATTGTGTATTAAAGAAAATTAAAGAGGAATCATATCATCGATGACATGCTCAAGATTGTTTATTTTCCGTTGTAATTTATGTTTGATAAATTTTAGCATATAGATGAATATAATCAATAAAATAAGACAGACGATGGATATGATAGATATCGCGATGTCACGAATCAGTTGTTTTACAGTGAATGTTTTCGAAGAATAAGACGGGATAAACTCCTTGAGTAAATTTTGGTACTGGTTCCGATACAATAATATTATTGGATGTTCGTATTCTTTTATTGGGACGAAGAAATGTGTCGATTGTTTCACATGCAAATGAGCATTTCCAAGAATATTTACTCGCTTTTCGTCACAAGGTATAGGAGACAATTGGAAATTAGCACACGCAATTGTGTTATTACATGGTAAACGTACGAGGCCAGCTTCTTTGACAGAGAGCGTGTCAATCGTACCATTTTGATAAGAAATTTTACAGTATATTCCATCCTCAACATTGTAAAAGTACAATATTCCGTCATCAATTTCTATTAAGTTTTGTTCTATATTTTGTGATCGAATGACTGAACATTTGCTATTCGCAATCATTTGATGATTGAGCAATTCATATAAACACGAATATTTAGTTAACATGATGGACATTGGCCTTGTCTTACACAAAATGACTGCTCCAAATACACATTTATTGTCATCCAAATTGCTTTTCCACACTACTAATGTGTTATCAATTGCATTTATTCCAATTGTTTTTGGGAGATTTGAATATGTATACATTTCATGATTGAATATAAACGGCAGTGGAATCAATTGAAATACATAGAATTTGGTTGTACTAAGAACAGGTATTTGTAAAAACAGTGTTGAAATTACGATACAAGGGTGAGATGAAATGGAATTGATATAACTCTTTAAGCAATATCTCAATGCGAAAACAGATTGTCCGATAATCAATTCGGTAAATTTATTTAGTGATTTGTGAATGTCATCTGCTGTGTATGAACTACGCATCCGTGATAACACTGCGGTCAAAAGTAAACGTAAGTCATCATCAGATAAATAATCGAAATCTAGTTTATTGTTGCTGATGTGCTGAAGAATTAGTTCAGCTGGTGCTATACGAGCACGAGGAATGTGAGTGTAACTATTTAAAGTATCACTTTCTCGTATTGGAGGTAATGCATCTGCATCTAATTTGTTATAATAGAATTGTTTGTTAAAAAAATGAAACGCTGACACATTGTTAGGTAAATTTTCGTCGTGTTGCTGTGTGAGTACGCGGTTTAAGTCATCGCCAACTAATCTTGAAACATCGTTCTTGTGATAAAATGAAAACTCACGAACTGATTCACGAGTTGGCATTATCGTGCCTAATTCTAATACATTTACATTCTTATATTCTAAATTGTATATACAAATATCCGAATTCGATACAGCAATACAGAAATTATGTAAAGGTAAGAATGTGTGAACAACTTCCTCAACAATATCCGGTGAATAGTCACCGAGACGTCGAAGAGCAAAACCCTTGGTTGTATCAATGATAATATCATTTTCTAAAGAATCAAATACTGACAGAAACGACTCTGTTCGAATTGATTTTATCATAAAATATATAACAAATAATTTTGATAAATAAATCATGTTGTTTTAATGTAACAAAGAGCAATAGGTTTCTCTAAAATTTATGAAAAAAGCTTGAATTTATAATTTATTCATCATGAACATGTGTGAGGATGAAAAGAACAATAGGGATGGTTATTTTTTGAAAATTCATCGAAATGTCGGCATTTATATCTAACCGCGATGTTGTTTTTGGTGTACTTAACGGTCAACTTTATCGTTATAACTACACTATCTCTTCAAATATTTTCTTTCTCAATGCCTATCGTAAGATATGAGGACAACACTACTGATAATATAGCTCGAATACGAATGAATCAATAGCGCTTAGCTTGCCGTATGATTCTTTCGTTTCTTTGATGTTCATGCGTAACTTTAGTAGCGATTAGAAATGACAAGTATTCGATAGGCAATTATTTCTCTTATCATTTCAATATGGAATATTTATCGACAATAGTTTTATTTCATAAATAATGTTTCAAAATCAGAAACAACATAAGATTATTGAGAAAAAACGTTTACACTGCTTCATGAGTAAAAGATGATTGTTCACGTCGCTGAATGATCTCGTCAAGAATAATTTGTCTTTCTAGAATAGAAAAGAATAAATATTGACTAACACAACTAGCGCAGTTCGTACCACGTTCACATTGTTTTCTTCGTGTGTATTCTCTTGGACTCTTGATTGTAAACCATGACTTCTGAACAGTAAATTACATTATTTATATGTTTTTGGAATGACAAATTCTTACTTTAACTTCGAAGTTATTTTTATAAAATTTAATCATAAAAACTACGAATGAGTATAAACTTGCTAACGCACATACAATTCCAGTAGCTACTATTATAATGCCTTGTACGTAGCTTTCTATTTTATGCTTGAGAGTTTCAGCTTGATTAACAAAAGTATCGTTGCTATTGATAACTCCAGTTGCATATGTTGTTGTTGTTTTTGTGGTTATTGCTGTTGTGGATTTGGTTGGATTTGTTTGCGAAAGTAATTTGAATGAGTTAACGTAGCGCTAAAATGTGTAAAAATCGATAACTAAGAGCAATGAAAAATGACAATACTCACTTGAGTACAGATACACGTACTCACAAGAACCAAGAGTAAAAAAAAGACGATCGACATGATAGTTATTTCTGAAGTTAATCTGGAAGATCGTGTATATATACGTATCTTCTCTCTTTTATGCCTTAATTAATTCAATTACGTTTCATGTTCTTTTTAGCTTCATGACTGTACTGAGAATCATCAAACAACTAATCGATAAACAATCTCCATTCATCTCTTATAACTGTGTCAATCTTTGGCATAATTTCTTTTGTGTATTTCTTGTTACGGTGATCGTTGTTATTTGAAAAATAGAGTGAAATGACATGTGCATTGAATGATACGATCTTCGCGCTGTTTATATGCATATGCAGCGATACGATCGAGAATTCCTTAAGAAGAAGTTACTTCCAATTGAAATGATTATTATCGTAGAATGACTAATGGTCTTTCATATGACAATAGACATTACGTTCAGATTAATAATGCAATCTGAAGATCATTTCAGAATATGATTTGACAAATTGAAGCATTCCATAGAATATTATCTCATGTACGTAAATAGTCGAGAAACATGCATAGTTCTTTCTCGCTCTTCACCAAATCATATCATTCATTTTCAGATAAAAACTTTTTTCTAAACATAAATGTGTTTAGGTAGAAAAAAAGACGGATCAATAGAAGGATATGAATTGAATACATATATGCGGTTTCATCAAAGCGAAACCAGTCTTCATAGTTTCACTAAATAAGCATTTCAGATTTAAGTTTAAATATAACCGAGTGATTACTCGCTATTCATACTCATCAAAGTTTTCTTTTTATTATTTCTTTCAACGATGAATGGTGTATCATCAGATTAAAAAATGATTATAAATGCATTGACATATATATGCGTAAGCGATTTATAATTTCTTTCAATAGCTTTTACATACGTTATGATGAGTAAGGTTAACGAAAAGAAAAAAGCTCAACAAACATCTAACAGTTATCAAATGTATATATTTTTGTATATATTGCATATACGACATGGCCAGTTGACGTCGTAACTGATTTAACCCCTTTTAAATCATCGTACAGGTACAGTTGACCATCAAACCCGATTAATGTAACAGTAAAATGTTCAATTGGTGTGCTGGTGTGTTGAATAACACCACGTAATCGATATCTAGAAAGATAATGTCCGTAAAGTTCAAAACAAATACGACATTATTTTAATAATTTACTCGACAGAATTAATTTGTAATTTTCGTTTTAAATCACGTATTCGAGGTGTATAATCGGCGAAACCTTCTTCACTTCTTTTTGACAAATGTCTGACATGACATATAACTATTGGTGGAGTATTATACGTAAACGTTGCTGGTGATGTATGTATGGTCGAATTACATTTCCATACAAGTCTAGAGAGAAAAAAAATGGTTATTAAAAATTGTCATACGAGAATATATCAGACTCATACTCATATTCACTTTTTCCGCTTTGTCCATCAATTACATGCATAGGAGCTTCTCGATATTTTTGTTTTTGTGCATCTGCTGGAGTTAATTCATCATGACGTGCCATTACTATGTCGCATATGTCGATAGTACCTTCTTCAAAATCTCTAATGTAATCGTCTCCGGTGCTATAAAGAAATCGAAATAAGAAGAAAAATATATAAAGTAGCCAATACTTACAAAATAACCAATTCTGTTGATGAACTATGACGATTCTTCAACTTACATTGTGGCCGAGAACATACAGTTTCATAGGAATAACGTTGTTCTTCTTTTATAAAATGAAATACTTGTGCGTCGATGGAACCAAAAAGATTTTCTTTTCGAGCGAACTTGTCCAAAATTCCATTTATATATAACCATGTAAGACGAGCAATATCCCAGCCTTCAGTGTCGACTATTCGAAAAACACGAGCTAGACTTGAATATGGTGATGTTGAAGGTGCATCTTCAAAAATGTCAGCAAGATCAAGATCAGTTTTGTATATAAAATAAAGAACGAATAATCCTGAATCTGTTGCACACGTATTAGTCAGCTTATAATAGAGATCTAAAAGGAATACATAAAATAAATTTTATTGAATGAGATAATGATTTTGTATTGCTTACCTTTGAAAAAAACGTTATTTATTCCAAATCGTGGCCATCTTATTATGTAACCGTCAATATTTATGTCAGGTTCGTTTGAAGGTTTGACAAGTGCTTTTATTTTTAACCGTTTAGTTGTTGAAATTTCTTCTAAAACAGGAACCATTCTTATAAAAATCTGTGGGATGCTTATACATACTACTTTCAACAGGACAGGTCGTGGCAGGATCCGGACATACAATTTTCTTGTCAAAATCATATACAGATGAAATTTCGTTTTGTTGATCATAACAATCAAAATTGTTTTCTTCATCATCATCATCATCATCTTCTACCTCCTCTTCGTCACTATCGTCATCTCTTTCCTCCTCTTCGTCATCATTATCATCTCCTTCTTCCTCCTCATCCTCCTCCTCCGTCTCTTCCTCTTCTCCTCGCACTTTCTTCTTTTTTTTCTTTTCAACGTCCTCTTCAACAGCATGACTATTAAGTGATATTTTGACTTTACAAATTTGATTATTCGACGATGGTTGAACATTTTTGATTGAATTAGAACTAGACATGAAGATTGGCGATGTTTTTGGATCATGTTCCAAACATTTTCTACAAAAAATTAGCTATTTTCGTCGACTTAATTTTTTTCCTACTTGGAAAAATTATAATCAGTTGATGAATCCAATGAAATCGATCGATATAATGATGACATAGACGTACTGTCCTCCGATCCACTAGAAAATACATCAAAGCTCAAAACTTAAACTTCATAAGAGGTACCTAATGCTTCGTTTAAAACGGGAAGATTGAGCATCATTCGTATTTAACTGAGTACGTTTTGGTGCATGTTTATCAATTACACATGTATATAAACCTTTTCGTTGTTCACCTTTTTTCTTCCATTTTTCCATTAAAACATCAGTTCCATCAGTCACGTCCATTGAATCACGCGATTTCTTATTCTGTCGTTTTCTTCCTTTTGAACTTTGCGTTACACCAAACTTATTTGCTTTAAATTGGGCTTGCACACTTCGATAAAGCTTTCTAATCGCATCACCTGGTGTATTATTGCGTTTCCTACCATATATACTTGCCTTCACTGTACGGAAGTAACTTTCGACCAAAGCATTTGAATATCGAATAGGATTGTAAATTGCTGATAATTTTCTTTTGGTATCACTACAATACCGCTCTTCAAAATTCCATAATAAACCAGTCCATAAAGGTAAATAAGCCCACCATCGATAAAATAAGCGTATAATTTGTGGAGAAAATAATGGATTAGTTACTTTGTCATATTTTGACTTTTTATTGATAAGAGCTGCAAGGTTTGGATAAAGACGAATTGCTTCTCTGTTGAATGGTGATTGATGAATAATAGGAGCACTGGTTCGAAAATACTCATCAACAATTATTAATTCTTCGTTTCGCCTCTTTGCTTCTTTCAATATCTTCCTCTTATCTGATAATAGTGCTGCACTTTCTTCATCAACATTGAAGAGAAGAGAATGCATTTGTTGAAATTTTTGCTGAGCATCTTTTTCATTAGGATCACCGAATACATTTACAACGGAGCCAAGTGTTTCGTATAATCGATTGATATCATTATCGCATAAAATAAATACAAATATATGTAATATACCCTGACGAATTGTCTTATCTATGCGCATGGCATTCAAACTTCGTGCAAATGCGTGTATAACATGACAACAACAAAGATGAATAAATGATAATGATCGTAATTCTGTAGCATTATATTTTCCAGACAAAACGTTCCAACACCGATTTAAATGAGTATTAATGCTTTCGACGTTGAATGCTTGAAGAATGGAGTTCATTAGTGCAGCAGAGAAATCAATAACAAAGAAAGAAGGAAGAATCAATTTACGTTTAACTTTGATGATGTTGTTTACTAAATGTCCAAAAAAATAGCCAATACTAGGAACTGTATGATCTGTAAGAATTGCATGTGCAAGTGAAATAACATCATTTGCATCAGTTCCATCTTTAAAAACGATACTATACATGTACGAATCATGTTGTTGTTGTAGTTTTTTTAAGATTCCACCTGTAGCATCTATATGAATAAATGAATACTTTTGTTGTGTACAATAGCTGATATATCTTTCTATTTGTAATTGTGAAAACAGATGTATACGAAATGGCATTTCACCAACTGCTTGAACATATCCTAGAAAGAGAATTAAAAACCGTCAATCTGTAACATAACCGTTTCACATAAAATTGGTTTACCTGGAACTTTTTTATATATAATGTCAGCGTCAAGATATGAAATGGCGATAATGCGGCATTCTGCATATGCATTTTCATCGTACTTCATTTTCTTTCGAAAATCAGCTGATGCTTTTTTTATCGTTTCTATTGTTTCAACTCTTCCAAAATTACCAACGGCAAGTAGTTTTTCGTCGGCCGCTTCCACACGCTCACGAAATACTGCTAATGGTCCAATATCATTTGCTCGTTCACCTAAATTAATATTTCAATAAAGATTCAGTATACAAATGAACTTCTTACCAACACGCAAACGCTCTGCTCCGCGTAGTTGCTGTGTCATTATTTCAGTTTCCGATGTATGTTTTTCCACGCCTGAAATTTTCATAAGGAATAATGCTGCTGTATAAACATCTGGTTTATTTTCAAGCGTAATACGATATGATCTGGTACATTCACTACTAGTACACACAGCACAACACCAGAATGGTTTGCATACTCTTTTTCTGGTTCCTTTGAGAATATATGGTTTTCCAAATCTCAAGTTGCATACGATTCCATGTGTTCTTATTATTTCAGAAAATATTTTTCTCCAACCATCATTCATTTTTTTTTGTGAATTGCTAAAAGCAGTTTTCCATTCAACTGGACTCATAACAAATGTTAATTTCTCGATTGTCGAATTTTGTTTTCCATTCTCGTCGCTTTGTTCCGCTTTATTAGCACGTGTGTTCGGTTGATCAGGTATTGGTACTGATCGATCCGGAACTAATTTTACTTTTTTCTTCTTTAATGCTGTTGATTTCTTTTCTTCCTCCGTATCATTACGATCTATATCGTTATGTTTAACAATTCTTGTCTCTTTCTCAACAAGTGCATGAATATTATAACTGTCTGAGCGCCAAATATTGTACAATGAGTGACGCAGCCTTTCTGTATGTTCGATTTCTAATTTTGTCATAACTTCAGTCCATAAGGAAGATTGTATATTGAAATTAGCATTTAATCGCCATGTTTCTTCCCCAAGCTCATCGACACGATCTCCAAGAGATGCAATGGCAGAGACTAATTGCGTAATAGTAATCAATGACCAGATATTTTTTGTTCCTTTCGTGCAATCTGACATCGTTTCGTAGTAATTGTTGTAACAAAAGTGAAAGTATTTTTATTGATGCAAAAGTCAACTTCAAATAATGTGTTGTATTGATGAGATTTTCTCTGAATACACAAGGTTATTTATACACATTACTTATCAACGTGGCGAGATAAGACATAAATCAATTGTTGAAAAAACATCATCATGAAGGAGCTCTCCATCGTTGAACAAATACACATTGAGCAAGTGTCCTCTTATGTTTTATCACTTCATCAATATCAACCGTAAAGTCGATTTCTTTGTTGTAGGACGACAGATATGAACATTTATGGAAAGAAAAAGGACGGCCACTTGTCATAAACGTCTTATCTGATCTACCTTTCTAAAAAACACATTCGATTATCCGAAAGTAAACGTTCAAGAACCTAAATGAGCAACCGCTAGATAAATCGAAGTCAACGTACATAAGGTGACAACAAAATGATCATTGAAAACAATCATAAACTAATACAAACAATCTGGAAATTTTTGATAAAAAAAAAACTTTTTTCTTAAAGGAATGTTCCGTTTGATAACGCTTTATTTAAATCACGATGACATACTGCCCAACAAAGAGTTATACGAATGATCGAAACAAGACTTTTAATATTAAGTAAATATATCCTCTATTATGCTTGTGATCGATAAACCAATATGATCACGTGTAATCTTCACATAGTCGCCCAGAAACGATAGAAATCATATTCTAATCAGAACAAGCTCAATAATTATGCTTCCTTTTATTATTCTTTTTTATCTGTAAATTATACCATGTAATAAACTTTTCAATATCCTACAAAACATACTTTTATTTTCCACTTACCTCAAATTGAGAAAAAAATAAACCATCTATCCATTTTCTTCTTTCATAAATATTCTACGCTGACTGATTTAAAAAAATATTGTTCCAACTAAATATCACTTTACACAAAAGTTTCCTATTCTTTTTACTTCGTTTTATAAACGAAAATGCTTTTATTTTTCTTCGTGCGAATCGTTTTTTATAGTTGTGAAAATTATTTTGCGAAAATGATTTACTTTCACTTTGTTTTCACCAATGCAACTGCTTTTCAAAGTCAAATATACCAAAAATTTATTCCTTGAGTTTTTTCATATCATTGAGCAATTTTCTACCATCGAACAGTTTGACACTTGTCAAATTC